GGGGGGGGGGGGGGGCGCCCAACTCTTGCATTGTTGCCCCGACAATGAGGCAAGCATTGCGCCTGCCCACAAAAGGCCTCTGCCCAGCCTGGGCACGGAACGCTTGCATCTTTGCAGCCCGGGCTGAGGGAACCTCCCCGACCCCCCCCCCCCCCCCCCGCCCGCATGAATTTCGCGCACCAGGCCTCTAGTTGAGATAAAAGAAAACACACCAAGTAAGTAAAATACATAGTATATTGGATGATGGTATATGCTCAGAAGAAAAAATGAATAAGGGATAGGGATAGGAAGTTTTAGGGAAAGGTGACAATTTTAAATTGGGTTTGAGAAGTCTTCCCTGAATAATGATCTGAGGGAAGTAAGGTATATTCATTTCCTATTGCTGCTGTAACAAGTACACAAACTTACTGGCTTAAGACAACTCAACTGTAGTATTTTACAGTTCTTGAGGTCAGGAGTCCAAAATGGGTCTTGCTGAGCTAAAATCAAGGTGTTGGCAGAGCTGTTTTCCTTCTGGGAGCTCTAGGGAAGGTCCATGCCTTGTCTTTTCCAGCTTCTAGAAGCCGCCCACATTCCTTGGCTCATGGCCCCACATTACTCCAACGTATGCTCCCACCATCCCATCTCCTTCTCTTCGACTTTCCTGCCTTCCTCTTTTCCTTATAAGGACCCTTGTCATTTTATTGGGCCCACCTGGATAATCCAGAATCATCTCCCCATCTCAAGATCCTTAATTTAATCATACCTGCAAAGTCCTTTTTGCCAGGTAAGGTGATAGTCACCAGTCCTCAGGACCAGGAGGTGGACATCTTTGGGGGCCTTTATTCTACCACTTGGGGCATAGTATCTAGAGAAAGTGGGAACAGCAAGTTCAGAGGTCCTAAGGCAGCAGTTGCCTGGCATGTTTGAAGAAGATGGTGGCCAGTGAGGACGCAGTAGAGTGGGCAAGGAAGGAGTGGTCTCTCACAAGGTCAGAAAGGTGAAGAAAGTGGAGTGGCACTTGCAGGATTTTAGCCTTTACTTGAATGGGAGCATGTGAGGGCCGCGATCTTACGGGTTTTAACAGCATTCCTCTGGCTATGTCGAGTACAGTCTATCATGAGGAGGCTGCTGCACTATCTGGGCGAGATGATGGTGGCTGGACCATGGTAGTAGAGGAAAGTGGTGACACACGGTCTCATTCTGGATTTTGAAGGCCAAGTCACAAGGAACCACTTAAGGGTCAGAAGTGGAGTGTCACAGAATGAGGGGAGTCAAGAATGACTCCAAGGTATTTGGCCTGAGCAACTGGAAGAATGAAGATGCTCTTTAAGATGAGGAAGACCACAAAAAGATCGGACTTGGGACGGCTGGTGAGAGATCAGGGATTTGCTTTGAGATGCATGTTGAGTATCCAATGGAGATACTGAGTGGGAAGTCAGATAAGAGTCTGGAGTTAGAAGAGAGGTCTGGAGGGATTTGTTTGGGAGACACGGTGGTATTTAAAGCCATGAGCTTGGATGAGATCTTCAAGGGAGTGCGTGCAGAGATAAGAGAACCAAGGGCCCCTCCGAGGAGGAGAACCCAGTGATGTTGGAGGAAAAACCAGGGGAGGGTGTGGTCCTAGAAGCCAAGAGAGCTGAACGTTAGAAACTGTCCAGAGTGAGAATGGAAGGGGGCGGGTGGAGTAGAGGATGACCACCCTTGCTTTCCTAGGTCTGTTCTCTGGCCAACAGCCCCTCTGGGAGATAATTTAAGGGAGATGGACCTGCTGTGGTGGAAAATCTTGCCAGGCCCACTGTAGCAGTGCAGGGACCCTCAAGGCACCGAGCCTATTGACACTCACTGAATATTTGTTAAATCCCGAGGAAAGGGCCATGGACTTGGGCCCAAGTCTGAGTTCTGGTACTCTCAAGAAGTCAGGGTTTCAGTTTCCCTCTCTAAAATGGAGATGATACACACTCACCCCTAAGTCCTCCCTCATCAGTCATGACATTTGGGAAAGTGTTTGGCAAACTGTAAACCAGCTGGGCGAATCAGACTTAGGTCGAGGCTTTTCCTTGGCAGCTGACTCAAGGTACATGGCTGGACCTGTGTGACCCACCCCACACCACGTGAGGCCTTCGACTTGATTTTTCTCAAGTCATTCTAAGGACAAGCAGCTCCTTCCTCAGGCAACAGGAACTGGGAATGAGTGGGACCTGGTCCCAGTGGAAACTTTAACACATACATGGACATTCACAAGTGTTTCCAGTGACTAAAGGCCACACGAAGCAGCTGGCTAAACCCTTCCTGAAAAGTTGTCCCAGGATGACTGCAGAGCTGCCCCCACCCCTGGCCATCCTCAGCCACAATGTCCCACCTCTCCAAGGGTGAGCCCTTACTTCACCCCTAAGGCAGGGACCAGGCTCCCCCTTTTGCTCAGCAACAGACAGCACACAGGAGGTTCAGCATGCAGGCCAGTTTATTCACATTTACTTCCCCCCAAAACTTTTCCACACTGGTCAGGGAGTGAAAGAATTGGGGGCTTAGGGAAGAGACATGGGATATTGTAGAGGTGGAAGCCAAAATGCTCACCTTGAATGTGCTATGATAGGATGAAAAGACTTTGGTCTGAGAGTGACAGGCACCCCCCCCCTCTCATTTCAGAGACTCAAAAAATTGGGCCCAAGAAACACAACACTAATTCACACAAATCTTCGTCTATCTGCAGGAGGAGAACCCAGGCCATTACCCTGTCCTGGTTCTTCTGCTGGCTCTCACACCAGGGCAGTTTTCAGACCCGGGCCATAGCACTACACTGCCATGGTGTCTTGACCTAAAAAAAAACAGATAAAACATGGCTCCACTTGCACAAGCGGAAGAGACAAAGGTGCCTGATTAGCAGGGTCTGTGGTGCACAAATAATGGGAGAGGGCGGTGCTTGTCAGCATTAGCTAATGGCTCTGAAACGTAGTGTAAATCCACAAGGTGGGTAACTAAAGGCCAGACTCCATGATTAAGTTGAAAACATAATCTGACCGGGCTTGTGAACAGACTTCTCAAACAGTCTCTGCTCACTGAGTATTTTAGTCTCCTTGACTCTAAACCACCAAGGAAGCAGGAGGAAGAGGAAGTGGTGGTCTGCCGAGCTGGGACCTGGGACTGTCATGATTGTCCAGATCTCTGAGCCTGGACGGAGCGAGGGAACAGGACGCTGAGTCCCCAGAGGGTCGCCTTCAGGCCCTTGCCCCTCCCATCCGGCTCCACAGGCCTTGTCTTCTAACGCTTCTTCTTGGCCTCCTTCTTGGGCCTCTTGTTTGTAGGAGCAGCAGCCTTGGGCTTCCTCACTTCCCCACTTCTGGGCTCAGATGGTTCCGTCTCCTACATGGTGATAAAACAAAGAGTCCTGCTTAGATGAATCAAGCCTGACATCAGCAAAATGAGATCATGTCTGAAGGGACTTTGCAGACTGAAGCATGCCACAGAAACGCAAGGGATGGAAACCATGATGGCTGGGACCCAGGACGGATATGTGTGCAGGTTAATCCCTGGGAGCGGGGCAGTTCTTAGTAAAGAGAAAGGGAGGCCCTGAGGGCAGGACACAGTCTTTGGAGTCTCAGAGGCCTGGGTAGGATCTAGGCTCCTTCATGTTCCAATTAAGTGACCTTGTGGGCAATCTGCTTCCCTTTTCTGTGCCTTGGTTTGCCCACCTATGAAATGGAAGTAGCGATGCACAGCTTGGAGGACTAATACAAGTAGGCAATAATGCATAAAAAGCACCCAGTAAATGTAGTTGCACCCGGTGGCTGGCTGGTCACCCTGGGCAGGGTCTGGGCAGAATTTGGGTGATAAGCCAGCTGTGGGGCAATGCCACTATGGCCTGCTCTCCCCTTCTGGCCCTGCTGTTCTCCTACCATTCAACCCACAGAATGCCAGGGCCACAGGGGTGGCGTGCTGGCAGGTAGGCAGCCACTGCACTGTTCTGTGGAACCTGGCAGAGGTGCCCCATGGGGTGGGCAGGAGGCAGCTTCAGGGCAGAACTCCAGACTCTCCCGACGCCTGGGGAAGCTCTGGTTTTCATCCGTCGTAGACACTGTGATTCCTTCCCAATAAGACGGTTTAATCAAAGGTTCTGTGGCCTAAAAGAGGTTCAAACCTGCAGATCTGCCCCCGGCCTTCACTGTGCCGATATAAAAAGTGGGCTCTGGGCAAGGGCCTCAGCCTCTCCAGCCACACAGGCTCCTGTCAGAGGAATCTGGGGAGGACTCAGTCCTGTCAAGTATCCCTTCCTCCCCTGGGTGATCAATCACAGTGCCACAGCCAGGCGAGACGTCAGCAAGCTCCATCCAGCTCAGAGAGCACTAAGCACAGCTCCCAGCCGCATCTGGCCCACAGGCGAACTTCACTTGGCCTACAGAGTTTATTTTTAAGAATTTAAGCCAATTGGGAGATTTCCCATTCAATCCGGATCCATAGCGTTTTTGAAAACTTTAAACATCCGGTGACACTAGTCCTGAATCCCCTTGTGGAAGAAATGGGCTGAACTGCAGCTGCCCCTTTCTTCATGTGCCCATAGCCCCACGACCCTGGTGCCCCCAACACTACGGAAAGAAAATGTTTCTCAGTACCTGTGTTCTTTTATGAAATAATTTCAAAACAAAAAAAAACAAAAGACTAAGAATATTAGGAGAGAACACTTTTTCTGGAAGAGAAAAATATTTCCCCCTGTTTAATTGGACAACTCCCAGCTTCAGCTTGCTTTAAGCTCTATCCTTCCCAGCTCGCCCACTGGCCCCTGGTCTAAGTCTCACCCTACAGAAGAGGCAGGACCTCGGCTGGGGAGGGGCAGTCCCCGCCAGAAGGCTCAGTCCAGAGGTCCGTCAGCTCCCTCTTATCAGCCAGTATTGTCTTCTCTCCACCCTGCCAGCTGAGACGTCAGATGTAAAGGCCCAGCCTCAGTCCCAGGAACCTACAAGTGATCTTCTCAAGATAATAAGCAGGCCGGTCTCTCCTCTGGCCAAGTCTCTGATGACAACTCTGGACTTCCCCAGCTTGTCCCTCTGTGCTGACACTGTTTATGTAACTTGGAAAAAAAAAAAAAAGTCCCATTATAAAAGCAAACAAAACCAAACTTCAGAGGAGCCAGTGTGTCAAGTGCACAGGCTGCAGGCTGCAGAGCTCAGCGGGAAGGCTACTGTTTAAGGCAAACCCCACAGGGCACAATGCCTCGGGAGACCTTGGGAGCAGTACCCGTCAGTCCCTGGAAACCAGTGGGTCCCTGAGTGCCCTGGGCAAACAGGCCCTGATTAGACCAATGGTTTATGCACAGGGCACTTGCTGAGGCCTGCCAGGATCTCCAGGTGGAGCCCCACTCTGAGCTCGAGTGCCTCCTCCGGTTTCAGAGGGGCCCAGTTTGGAATCCACAGAGAAATTGACATCCATCTGCCGTCCCCTTTGATTCCATCACCCACAGTCTCATGTCCCACACCTGGGATGGCATCTAAGGAGACCACCTCTCCAGCTTCAACTATGATCTTCTCCACCACCCCCCACAAACACTGGGTCAGGCCCCAGACTCCCAGTGGTCACCCCTAACAAGAGTAGCACCCTTCTTTCCTTGGCCTCCCAGTAAAGCCCTCCCCATGGTTTGGTTCAGTAAGTAGAACACACTCCTACTCACAGTCTAATCTTCCTTCTCTACTCCTCTACTTGTAGCCAAGTACATCTCTCCTCCACCTCTACCCCGCAGGGCCCCAGGAACCTTTTAATGCCACTATTATCTTATCATAGTTACATGTTCTCATGTTGGTCTCCCCTATTAGCCTGTGAGCTCCTTGGGACAACTTCAATTGTTGCTGAATGAATGAATGAATGAGTGAAATGAAAGAACAGGCAAGATCTCCCATAACCATGAGAGATCCCTATAACATAAGACTAGGCATCACTTTTTCCATGGCACAGAGGACACAAGCAGATTTTAAACCCAATATACATACCCTGAAGCATATAGGACTAGACATAGCAACCATTAATAACAACAGCCACAACAGCTGCTCATATTATTTACAATATGCCTGTGTTCCATGGTTTGGACATATCTTACTTTAGCCTCACAAAGTGCCCTAATGAGCCCATTTTGTAGATGAAAGAAGAGATACTCAGAGAGGTAGTGACTTGGCTAAGGTCTGTTGGTGAGCAGCAGAGCCAGGATTTGAACCTAAGCTCTTAATGGTTATATACAGGATACCTCTCCAGCTTCCTAAGTGACCTCAGGGTTATGGAGACGGATAATTTGAGTCAACTGTGAAATCTACTTTCACAAGTTGACAAGGACAACTGGTTCTAGATTCTGTCTGTCAATGGGTCATCCAGGACCCCTGTTTGTGACGAAAGTTCTACAGGAGTCAGGAAAGTGGGTTAGTGCTCCTCGAGTCATGCTTTACTTTCTACAGATGAAAGCAATTCTCTGTAGGTGTGTGTACACATTACAGTCATCGAGTCATCTGAATGTCTTATCTGTCTCCTCATCCAGACCTCCTCCTCTCTTTCCCATCTCAGTTTCTGGCATTGTCACCCACCTAGTTACCCAAGCTAGAAAGCTCCGAGTCATTTCTGAGTTCTCATCATTCCCTGGTGCCCCACATCCCACCTGTCCCCAAGTCCTGTCCACTCTGCCTTCCAATGGGCTCTCATTCCACCATCCCCTTTGGACACACACTACTGTGCCAGATCAGACCCCGCAGTCTCCTGCCTGCCTCATTGTATCAGCCTCCCACAGATTTTCCTGACCACCTGCCACATTGCTTTCAGAATCTAAAACTGTTGTTTCAGACCGCGTCTGTTTTCTGCTTTAAAAGTGTACCTGGCTCCCTCTCAATAGAGGGCCCTGTCACTCTAGCCTCGACCCTGTCTCAGGACACACCCCTTCATGCATCCCACTCTGTCACTCTGGGTTACTGATCAAGCTAGCAACTCCCAGGTATTCAGTTCCCTGTCATGCTCAGCACATGCACTCCGCACTCATCACCCACCTGTCTATGCCCAGTGTTAAGCAGGTTCTGTGCCGGGCACCATAGGGTAATGCAGAAGATAATGAATGCATACTTAGTGATGTAAACTATGTGGGTGCTTCACAACCATCAGCTCAGTGAGCCTCCCATCACCCTGACCAGCCAGCCACTGTAAGCTCCATTTTACAGGTGAGGAAACTAAGGCTGGTCCACGGAGGCACAGCTACCTTCCCCGCAAGCTGTAGGGAAGCAAGGCAGCTATTACACATGATTCGGCTGCTGGGGTCCTAGCCACACAGAGCTGGAGCTCCAAGTCCTTGGCTGGCAAGAATGGCTGACTTAATTTCTCTTCAACTGCACGTTGCTGGTACAAGCCAGGCAGGGGGCAGATTCCAAAAGCTACAGCCCCACCTTTAAGTCTGGGGACACCTCTCTTCCTCTAAAGCAAGTTTTAAGTTTCCTCGACAATCACACTGTCAGGAGTAAAAGAAAACCTCTCCTGCCAGAAGGCTCCCGGGTCTGCAGAGATGTCCTCTGTGGACAGAGGCCTCATCAATAATGAAGCAGCTCCACAACCGCTTACGAGGCCAGAAAATTGCTGCTATTCATCAGCTTCAAATAATCGAATCTGTGCCACAATGCATCAAATCCCTTCCAGCAGGGAAAGCGCCCAGAATTTTATGGTTTCCACTACACAGTTCGGTGTGGATTTGTCCTATAAATCAGGACCAAATGTCATTCTGCACAGACTGAAACCCTGCTTTCCTCTAAACTGGTCCAGGAAAGAAAACCACTGTGCTCAGCTCAGAAAACCCCACACACCTTATCTCACTTGATCCTCAAGAACTCTGTGGGCCGGGCATGCGTGTCCTCCTTTTACAGCTCAGCACACAGGCTCAGGGAGATGAGGGTGGGCCAGCACCCAGGCCAGGTGTGACTAGTGCTGAAGCTCCTGCTGCCCCACTGTGCACTCCTGCCCAGAGCCCTGGGCAGGGTGGGCGCTGAAAAGACCTTGCAGAGATGGAACCAGCTCTAGCCTTGAGGAGAATAGGACTAGCTGAAACAGGGAGCACGGGAGGCCGTCCATGTGGGCTCGACACAGAGACATGCGTCCAGGATGTGCTTGGCAGGCAAGGAGAACTGTGATTAGTGAGAAAAGCCATAGGAGTTCATTCCAGACACAAGTCAGCACAACGCAGGCCCTTCCCACCGGCTGGTCTGTGGTTCCCTATGTGTCCAGATGTCTCTCCCACAAGCAGGTTCACATCTCGAGACCATGTTTATACTTTTACCCTGCCCACCACACAGCAATCTCTCAGAGACGACTCACTAAGTGGAAAAATCCCTGCTGCCCATTTCAACTGCAAACTC